TGGCGGTTACTCGTGTATTTCGTGGATGGGCGAAAGAACCGGCTGGGTCGTGCCTCATGCATCGGCCCGTTGTTGGTATTTCCGCACCGCGGTGTCGAAGACAATTCCTCGACACACCACTTTAACTTGGCGCCGACCACGGCGTTAGTTTCTCGAATGTCGAGTACACATTATCAGGGCCTAGGTTTTCGGGAACCGAAGCATCAACTGGTCGAGCAGTATCTCCCGGTGTGATGTGTCCGAACGGCTGCATTGAACGATGCAACAGCTCCGCGACGCACATTTTGTTGTCAATGGTGTGTGTGTGCACATGCACGTTCGTGTGAGTGAAAGAAACATCACTCCGCCAGGTATCGATGATCGCGAACATGACTTTACTAGTGTAGTGGCATTGGCCACCTAAATCGCTTCGGTCGCATGGTTGGAATCGATCTACTGCGGGTGAAATATACCCGGGAATGTTCTCAGAATATTTGGTCATGTCTCGAACGATGCATAGCCGCGAGAGCGCAGAGTCAAGTTCGAACTACATGCCCTCTCCCCCAACACGGTCAGGATGGTGGGAATACCTGTGTTTCTCACCACGGTTGGCGTAGTATGCAGCAACACCGGGAATTCTCCTTGTCTGGAACTTCGAGAAATTACGCCATTCATAGCACGTCTTTTAAATGGACCCATGACGCGGGCGGGGACAATTATGGTTGAAATGCCTCGGGTCGGCATTGTCATGTGCTCGTCGGTCAGCTTGCTCGTGAATATCGGTTGCGCGCCAAATAATTGACGCTCGACAATATCTGCAGAGACAACCGCGGTGAAGCCACTTTTTTCCTTTCCTATGATGAAGCCACAGGCTGTACGGTCCCAATGTTTTTTTTTTAATACCATGGGCCGCGCCGTAAGTCGAACCGCAAGAAGGAATTCTACGTGGCGCCGCGTACCCCCCCCCCCCCCACCCCCCCCAGGGTCAAAAAGGAAAACAAACCAAAAAAAGGGAAAGGGGGGGGACCCCATTAGATTTTGCCAAAAGGGAAGCCAATTAAGGACAAAAAGGATCCCTAAAAGCCCCGGAAAATTAAAAATTAGGATTAAGGAATCCCAAAAAGGGCCTTGAAATTTTTCCGGTTTTCCCCCAATTAACCTAAAAAAATCCAAATTTCCCAACCAACCCCCCAAAAAAACCCGGGCCTTATCCGAATCCCAAAATCCTGGGGAAAAGGCCGGGGAAAAAAAAGAAAAAAAATTGGAAACCTCCCCTTGGTAAGTTAAAATAGGGGGGGACCAAAAATCCAAAATTAAGGGGGGGGGTTTGATTTTTTTTTCAGGAGCCCCTTTTCCAAAATTTTGGTTGTCCCCCGCCCCCCATTTCACCAAAACCTTTTGGTTAAGGGTCCCCGGGAACCGGGAAAGAAAGGCCTTTTTCTTAGGAATTTTTTTTTTCCCC